AACCCCACACCCCTAAACCCTGCACCCCCAAACCCTGTACCCCAAACCCTACACCCCCAAACCCCACCCTACGCCCTACACCCCGCAACCCCACACCCCTAAACCCTGCACCCCCAGACCCTACACCTAACGCCTACATCCCCAAACCCCACCCCTATACCCTACACCCATAAGCCCCACACTAAACCCTGCAACCCAAAACCCTACACCCCCAAACCCTACACCCCAAAACCCTACACCTACCCCCAAACCCTACACCCCTAAACCACACCTACACTAAACCCTGCAGCAGGGTGCAAGGGAGGGGGGAAGGAGGAGGGAGGGGAGAGGTACGGGGTGCCGGGAAAGGGGTGTGTAGGGTGCAGGGTTGAGGTTAAAGGGGTGTAGGGCCTCCCCCAGACCCCTAAACCCCACATCCTACACCCTAGGCCGGAACCCCGTTTCCCCGCACACCCATACCCCAAGACCCAATACCGCCAGACCCCATACATCAATCAAAAAAAGAAAAAGGATCAACATAAAAATTGTAAAATCAAGCAATGACAAATACAAGCTAATAAAGCCAGAAACAAACAAATAAAGACAAAGTTTGCCAAGTCGGTTTTTTGCCGAAGATCAACTAAGATCTATAAAGCCCTGATAAATTAAGCCCCGCTATTCTGGGGCGTAGGTTCGACATAAGGATAAATCCTTGCCAGACTCGAGACCAACAAGTGGGCATGGCGGAATACAAACCCAAATGATTCAGAGCTCATCTTTCAACAACAACGATATAAACATGTTAGACACACACATAAAAATTAAAACACAATAGACAACAAAATCTATAAATGACCATGTAGATATATACGATGAAGACAGGTACAAAGATATGCGGAGTACAGTAGCAAGATTCTTGAGCTCAACTAACACGTACTCCATACTTTCCGTGAGGCTTTGGGACTCTGTCGGGACTTTCTTGTGAGGGTTACGGCATCAACCTTAAACCCAATGCAAGAAACCCAAGCCCGAAACGGTGCGGTTGGGGGGGTCGGTTGGCCCATAAGGTGCCAGACACCAGCAGTTAAGACTGATCAGCATCCCTACTGCGAATGACAGCACATTCCTGGCAGTTGGGGGCTTTGGGTTTCTCTGGTTCCCAAACTCACAAGCCCCGAGACACATGCTCTCAGCATCAACCCCTACAGCTGAAAGCCCAGATCATCCCAAATTTGAAGCCCGGGCATTGCGGCCCCCAAACCCTAAACCTGAAACGCCCGAAGTCCTTGAACCTTCACTTCCGGCTTGTCTTTCAGATGCTGCGTGCGCTTCGTACGAAGGCCATAGGAGCAACTTGTAAGCAGAGACTTCATTAATCCATGAAGGGCTCGTTTTATGTGTGTATATATATATATATATTATGTATGTATGTAAATATTTTTCTATATATATATATATATATGGCGTGGATCTCGACGGGGTCGTACCAAAACTTTCAAGTGACAAACATACAAAAAAAGATCTCGGCACGAAAGCGTTTGATATAGTTTTTAAATATATGGGTAGCGCTCTAAAGTAGGGTCCCCTTTAGGGTCCTTTTTAGAAGGGTGCCGTACTATGTTGGAGACCCAAAAAGGGACCCTAATTCAGATAACGACCCATGCATTCTTCTGCAACATACACCAACGGCCTTGCAAAACCCCACGAAATTAAATCCAAACTCCTAAAAACCCCAACGCTAAACCCTAGACATCACTGGAGATTGACCCCATACATGTCCAAGGATCTTGCGCAATTCAAAAGCCTTGAACCTTGCCCAGAGAACCCAATACCCCTTAATTCAGGAATATACCTGAAATCGTAATATTAAGGCCCCTATAATTCAAGGTATGTTCCCTAATTCCCTTTAAGGAACCCTTATAGAGACCCTTATAGATCCTTTTAAGGAGCCCTATAGTTTAAGGTATGTTCCTTATTTAAGGGGTTTAGGGTTTAGGGTTTAGGGTTTAGGGTATCGAGCTCTCTGGGTAAAAAAACCTAGGGAGCCTCTGCATAAGCCGGCTCGTCACACTGGCCAATGTAAATTGAGTCTATTGCAGGGTCGGAGCGTCACCGGGGGCTTGAACCCAGAGACAGCAAAACCCCTTAATTAAGGAATATACCTTAAATCTTACTAGGGTTCCTATTATATTTTAAGGTATATTCCTTAATTAAGGGGTTTTGCGGTTTTGGAGTCTCTGGGAAGGTTTAGGCCCGATCGGGGTTTCGGGCTTGAAGGTTTAGGGCCATAGGGTTTAGGGTTGAATGCTTAGGGTTAAAGGGTGATAGGGATTCGGGTAAAGGGGCTACTGCAACAAGTGCGGGTTCATATGGGGACCACGGCCAATGATAGCAGCTCCCATGTGAGTAGGTAGGACAAGCCATAATTCTCGTACGACTTTCTAAAAAACTCCCCACAACATCTTTACAAACACCCCCGCAAAAGCATACGCGATCTCACAAGAGACTACAGCACATGTTTCAACATCCCCCAGAATGACGCATAACTCTTGAGGTGGCCAACCAAAGCAGAGCAACCCAGAGACGGGTTTCCAACTGCTCTGCTGATGGACAAAATCCAGCATTCTGCTTTAGGAAAGTGGGTGCTTAGGGCTTGGGCCTGGGAGTCTTCGGGTGCAGGGTTTCAGGGTTCAGGGTTCAGGGTTCAGGGTTTAGGGTTTAGGGTTTAGGGTTTAGGGTTTAGGGTTTAGGTTTCATACATACCGTTCTCTCATGGGTTTCGGGAACTTCCGCCAAATACCTTGCAAAATTGTGTCCATCAGCCACAGTGGGACTCCCTTGCTAAAGCTGTACATGAACTGCTCTGTCGAGAGCTGCTAGGATTCAAAGCTTCTGGGTTTTGTATGTTTTAGTAGGGCAGTTGGGTTTAGGGCTTGGGGTTTACGGTTGAGGGTTTAGGGCATAGAGTTCAAGGTTCAGGGTTTAGACACTTTGCTGTTGGCAAAGGCGTTCCCAGCAGGGGCACTAGCCGAACACTGTGAATCGGTTGACCCTACGCACCAGACGTCCCATAGAAACCACCCTAAACCACCCTTCGTAAGTCCTTGCAGATGCTCGGAAGAAGTTCACATTCTTTACCAGGCGAAACCGCGGTAAATGCTCCACTCTTACTTATAACATGGCCTGCATCCCAAAACCTTCTTCTACTGAACCAGGCCCCCCGCCCCCAATTATTACTCATTGTTGAGTCTACTACGGCCCCCTTTTAGGATTTAGGGTTGAGAAACCCTAAACCCTAAACTTTGAACCCTAAACCTTGAACCCTAAACCTTAAACCCTAAACCCTAAACCTTAGACCCTGAACCCTAAACCCTATCCCTAAACCTGAAACCCAGGCTGTATCAGGTACAGGGCAACGGTTTCGGGATGCATGGGCAAAGTTTCCGAAGCCCGAGGCACCCCGAAGCAAGCAGCAGCTCATGAATAAAAGTCGGTTTAGGGTTTAGGGTTTAGGGTTCTAATCCCTAAACCCCAAGCCCTACATAAATTCTAAACCCTGAACCCTAAATATGAGCCGCAAGCCCTAATCCCTCAAGTCCCGGTAGCCCATAAGCCCCTAAATAAAACTTAAACCCTAAAACTCCAAAGTCTGTAACGTCCCTAAAACCCCCCAAAGTCCCTACAGTTCCCAAACCCTCATCCCTCAAAAGGCCCTTAAAACCCCTAAGCAAGCCCTACAGAGTTTAGGGTTTAGGGTTTAGGGATTTTGACGTTTAAGGCTTCGGGTTTAGGGCTTATATAATATAGGGCGATAACTGCTATCACACAGAGGTCCGTGAAGCCCGAATTGGATCGAGAAGGGCCCTAAAGCCCCTAATTAGATCGAGAAGGGCAGGCCATAATCCTCAGGCTCTTCTGGCCCTCCCTCTTCGAGGCAGTGGCTCTGCAGCATCACCTTCGCCTGACGCTTGGACTCTTTCTCCTGTGAGGTTAAGGGTTTTGGGGGTTTAGGGTTTAGGGTTCAGGGTTCAAGGTTTGGGGTTTAGGGTTAAGGGTTTAGGGTCCAAACCCTGAACCCTACACTACACCCTAAACCCTAAACCCTAAACCCTAAACCCTAAACACAGAGACATCTCTGTTGCCTGCCCTCCCCGAAGTGTTGGATGTGGTGAATGATGTCCAACAAATCGTTCGGAAACCGACGGGTCTCTAAACCCTAAACCTTAAACCCTAAACCTTAAACCCTAAACCCTAAACCCTAAACATTAAACCCTAAATAAACCCTAAAAAACCTGTGGTTGAGGAGAAGGAGCCTTGTCCTGCAATGGAGACCCCAGAGAGCCCAATACCCCTTAGGTTCAGGATTAGACCTGATGGATCATCATATCTTACGGTTTCGGGTTTAGCGTTTAGGCCCCTATAATTCAAGGTATATTCTTAGCTACCCAGTACCCTGGCCCAAAAAAGTTTAAACTTTTTTATAGTAGGGGTTTAATATACCAAAAAGTTTAAAGTTTACCTATTGGGCTCCTAAGCATTCCTTATTTAAGGGGTATGGGGATCACTGGGACCCTGATTTGCACGCTCCCTCCAAGACGGGGGCATATAACAGGGTCCGACTAGTCAGGCCTCTACAGACAAAGACGAGTGAACTAATCAGAGGTCTTAACCTTAAACCCTAAACCCTAAACCCTTAGCCTTAAACCCTAAACCCTAAACCCCTAAACCCTCAACCTTGAACCCTAAACCCTAAACTCTAAACCCTAAACCCCTCAACCCTAAGGTTCCCTTAAGGCCTCCTCTCACGGTTCCTGCAAAGGGCTGTCCTGGCAAAGGGGCTCATCGACGTGGTTGAGAATCAGCTCCTCTTGCTCACCAGCGCCTTTCTCCTTGCTGTGTCTGGGCTTAGGGTCTAGGGTCTAGGGTTTAGGGTTGGATTTGGGTTTAGGGTTTAGGGCTTAGGGTTTAGGGTTGGATTTGGGTTTAGGGTTTAGGGTGTTGGGTTTTGGAGTTTAGACTTAGAATTATAGAGTTTCATGTGGACCCCTGAGTGACTCCTGTATTCAAAGGCTTCTATATTTGGATCCGTATCATAACACCTTTCGGTTTCGCACCCTACACCCTAAACCCTAAACGAGAACCCAAGAAGTGTGACCTGGTGCGACCAGCATGAGCAGCATCCAGCAATTCGTCAACCCCTACCCCTAAACACTGACGCCAAACCCTACTTCCAGGATCACGGGACTTAGGAAGTAAGATTATGGGTTTAGGGTTTAGGGTTTAGGGTTTAGGGTTTAGGGGTTTAGGGTTTAGGGTTTAGGGTTGAGGGGCTTAGGGCTTAGGGATCATAAGCCCAAGAATGAAGATCAATACTGAGTCCTAGCAAAGCGCGCAATCCTGATGTGCCACACGCCGAGCTCGACATACGCACGGTTTAGGGTTTAGGGTTTAGGGTTTAGGGTTTTGGGTTCAGGGTACAAGAAAGCAAAAGGCTTAAAGACCCTGAGAACGCTGGCAGTAATGTAAGGCCTCCATACCTAGAATAAGTCATTGAAAAGGTTTCGAAGGGTTGTATAGAGTCTCATGCTAGTGTAGGTCCTTAATACCCCTAAACCCTAAACCCGAACCCTGCACCATGGCAGGGTCAGTAAAGGATATCATACGCAATAAGCCCGACCTCCGTCTCACAGTGATGTCCTCAGCCCAAGAACATGTAGGACCCAGCGTGCCACCTTAATCCCGAATGAGCTACCCGTTAAGGACTCAGAGAAGGAAATCACACAAAGGAACCCTAACATGTAGGTTTTACGGGGTTCAAGTATTCCCGGACCTAGGGAGCACGCCCCTGCCCCTGAAATAATAGGAAGCAGGTTAGACGCCCAGGTCGTAGTGGGCCTACACCAGCCAAACTCTAAACTCTACCCCAAAGCCCCCCCCTAAACCCCCCTAAACCCTAAACCCTAAAGCCGTAAAGCCGCACAGCCCAAAACTCCTAAACCTAAACCCTAAACCCTAAACCCGTAAAGCCGCAAAGCCGCAAAGCCCTAAACTCCTAAACCCTAAACCCTAAACCCTACACCCCTGACCCTAAAGCCCTAAAGCCCTAAAGCCCTAAACTCCTAAACCCTAATCCCTAAACCCCCAAACCCTAAACCCCTAAACCCCCCTCAACCCTAAACCCTAAACCGGAACTCCTCAACCCTAAACCCTAAACCCTAAAGCCCTAAAGCCCTAAAGCCCTAAACCCTGAACTCCTAAACCCTAAACGCTAAACCCCTAAAGCCCTAAAGCCCTAAAGCCCTAAACCCTGAACTCCTAA